ACGACACAACGAGCTCTCTCTGTGCACTGTCCACCAGGGGAATCAAACCCCGGATTTTGGCATTGTACCTCCATAAACTTACTGCCGACCCACCAGGAGACTAGTCAAGATGAACTTGGAATCGTTCAACTATAAAAAAAAATTAAAGTTGGTAATAATAGTCAGATGATTCCGTCGGCGAAGTGTTGTTGTAGCCCTATGTTCCACTTGGAACGAAAAGGAACTAAGAGAAGAGAATAATAGTCAGATGAGCTCATTTTACAATAACGAAGTATATGCTTGTATTATCTCAGTTGTGTTTACACATGAGCTAAAACGGCCAGGTAAGACCCGAAGTTTTAGGCATAACCATCTCTAATTTAAAACTGCTCTACAGAGTGAATACAACCAGTTACAAGTACCAACCACCATAAAAAAAATTCCTGTTTTGAATCTGAATAACAGGATTGACTGTCATACTCATAACACAGCCACAGGAACTGCGGAGATTATTCAGCGCACAACTCAGCCACTCCCGCTCCTCATGTTATGATACATATGGATTACCGTTTGTAGTTTTTCAGACAGCTATAAACTAGTTTTGTTTCGGTGTTTTTTTAACACGTGAATTCAATACATTGACCTGCCATTCATTTTACCGAAACAAAAAGAAATACAGAAATGTTTGTTGGGTGAAGAAAAAAATGGGGGGGGGGGAGAGTTAGTCGTTTCAAGTGTATAATTTTCCTGATATAACTTGGAACTGTAGCACTGGGGGTGAAAAATCCTGAGGAAAGTGTGCAGAGTCTCTCTCGCATATTCGTAAAAAAATTCACTTGTTGTTTTAAGTATTTTGTTTTACAATAATAACTTTAGTCCACAGTATGATTTAATCAAACAGTAAATGACTGTCTCTAATGCATATTTATGACAAGCATTGTTTACACAATTTGTCCAAACGATATTTTGAAAACCTTTTTTCTAAATCTCTACATCTTTCACAGATATAACTAAAGGATATGACCTGTTAATCTAGAACGATCATTCTGTCAGTTATTTTTCTAATACAATGCCTATTTTGATGTACTCTGTCATCATTTCTTGACATTTCCAATAAACGTCCTCCTGGCAAAATCAGTATTTAAAACTAAATCTTGGCTTCCAGAGTTTTTCCCGCTTCGATTCGTTGCCATGGGAAAGCAAATTTTTAAATAAGAGTTATTTTATTAAATATGTACTGTTTTTCTAGTGTTTGCTTAGTGTAGGTTATTCGTTTTGGCTGTTTAATTAGCATATTCTGGAACGTTGCTTATCTTGCTTGAAATGCTGACTCTTAAGCTGATCTTATGTACTTCTACGTAAAATCAATGAAGTACCAAAAGAATCGTACCGCGTCATGGAGTGAATTCTAATCGTTCCCTTGTTGTTTTCACCAGAGATTGGGATCACTAGTTAAAACAAGAAATGTCTATTAAATAAGGCAATTGAAGTATTGTCTTTCACCCACTGTTTATTAATTACTTTGGTTAATTATTCATTATTTCACATTGCAAAAAAAAAGTCCCCCGGTAAGACAGCGGTAAGTCTTCGGATTTACAACGCTAAAATCAGGGGTTCGATTCCCCTCGGTGGACACAGCAGATAGTCCGATGTTATAAGAAAGCACACCCACACACACACACGTATAAGTGGGCAATATGATTCGTTTAATTTATGGAATAGTTTTGCTGAAATACTGCATTCTTACATCTTTTTTTTGATCAGCGAAAATGCACAAAATATTTTGCTATAAAACCCACGCACACGCAAAAGAAAAAAGATACCCGTGGAAGTGTTTTGACAAGTTATTGTTGAATGTTTTAATATTTAAATAGTTGGAAGACAAATAAAACTGTAAAGTTACAGAGCAGACACAAAAACCATCATATATTATTGTATTTTAAGTTTCACACGTTTTTTTTATTATTATTATTCATTCATAGATTATCCTACTTTTCTTGTTATTCCTTAGATATAGGCAAATTTTCGCTCTTACAAAAAACCCTTAAATATTACCTGAAACTAAAGTGTTCAGGAAATACTTTGTTAGTTAAACATTCCTTATTTACAAAAAAAATCAAAGAATTTAAATCACCTTGTCGGACAAACGTAAGGGGAAAAGTAGTTTCCATGTTTAGTGAAACGTCTATTATATATATATATATAATAAAAAATGTTTTATACACGTGTAAAATATTTAAAATATCACGCGTTACGAGAGTATTTGCTGCAAGATACATTTTTTTTCATTTACATATGTATATGTAGACTAATGGTTGAAATCCGTACTAAAACAGACCACGTGCTGAAGCAGAAAATCATGAAAAGCGAAATATTTTTGTGTTGGGAACTTGTATGTATCGTATTAAACTATATACATTAGTTTGCTCAAGTTTCTCAGCAACAGAGATTAGTAAAAACAATGCTGTTAACATAATAGACCACTTATCGAATATTTTAATGTTAACGTGTTTGGAAACTTTAGTTCTACTGTCTTCGTCGTTTTAATGTGATCAATAATACTCGTTCTGCCTTGGAGACTCCTGAAGAAACCTGTAGCCTTTCTTATTGATATTGTAACATCCAGAACAGTCGAACGCTGCCACGACATTCTCTATGTTCAAAGTAAATAATGAAATCAATGTTTGTGATAACCAATATTATGATCTTAATTACACAGAAAACATCAATTATAACAAAATGGTGGTAATTTGATAATGCAATAGACAGTTTTTTGCTGCATCTTAGTTGTCCAGACTAAATCACTTGGTTATCTGGACAAAATCCAGAACAAAATCGTTAAATGTTTACCACTCGGTTATATGAACTAAATCATTTAATGCTTACCACTCGGTTATCTGGAGTAAATCCAGGATAAAAATCATTATATGTTTACTATTCGGTTATCTGGAGTAAATCATTTAATGCTTACCACTCAGTCATCTGGAGTAAATCCAGGACAAAATCATTAAATGTTTATTATTTGGTTATCTGGAGTAAGTTATTTAATGCTTACCACTCAGTTATCTGGAGTAAATCCAGGACAAAATCATTAAATGTTTATTATTTGGTTATCTGGAGTAAGTTATTTAATGCTTACCACTCAGTTATCTGGAGTAAATCCAGGACAAAATCATTAAATGTTTATTATTT